GTTTTGGAGTTGAAACCTCGCACACTCCGAAGGCATCATACAACCTAAACCCTAGAACCCTAGAGCCCCAAAGCCTTACACCCCAAAAAAACCCTGAAGTACCTAATTTAGAGAACTACTCTTATAGTACCTGTATAGAAACTCTATAGGAATCCTTATAGATCCCTCTCAGGAACCCTAAAGAGGGATCCCCAACCCAAAGGCGACTTGGCAATCCTTTGTGGAGAGTCCTCACAGTGAGGATCCTGCCGATTGCGGTTTTGGGTTTGGGGCATGGGGTTTGGGATTTAGTGTCTGGGGTTTAGGGTTTGGGGTTTAGGGTTTAGGTCGATGATGTGGGGACGTTCGTAAGGCACAAGGGCCGTTATTTTTGGATGCTTTACATAGGTTACATAAACAGCAAGGAACCTCCGAGTCTTTAGCAGCCGCCAGTTCCTGTCGGGTCCTCTTTGAAGCATCCAAAGCAAGGTTCTTGCTGAGTCTCTACCAGACGGCCACGGACTTTGAGGCCGGGGGCGGGTTTTGGGAAATTTAAGGCTTCTTTACGGGTCCTGAAGGGGCTTGGGGGTTTGGAGGTTTGAGGGTTGAGGGGCTTAGGATTAGGGCCCTCCAGACTAAACTCTGAATCCCAAATCCGGACAGGGTCGTCTGAAGCAAGCCTCCCCTATGTTACAGTCTCGGGTCCATAGGAGCCTAGGCTTTGACGGTTTCGGGTTCAGCTCGAAGCTTCGAGCTTCAGCAGCTTCTCAAGGTCCCGGTTCGGAGAGGCCTCAAACCAGCTCTCTCTTATTCAAAACGCAAACCCTAAACCTCTAAACCCTTGAGTGCCCTAAGCCCTAAACCCTAAACCCTTTATGCCTTTAAGCCCCTAAACCCTATAGCCTTTAAACCCCTAAACCTCCAAACCCTCAACCCTTTAAACCCCGCAAAAAACCCCTAGAGCTCGTGAGCCCCCAAACCCTCCAAAATCCGAGAAGCCCGAGCCCTAGAGCTGAAATCGAAGCATTCCTTTGGGGCTTTGAGGCATTAGGGTTTAGGGTTTAGGGGTTTAGGGAGCTAGGGTTTAGGGTTTAGGGCTCTTTGGTAGTATGGTTTGTTAAGGCTTTAGGGTTTTGGTTTAGGGTTCAGTGTTTAGGGGTCTAGGGCTTTTACCACTCCAAGGAAGTGTTAGTATACCTAATCTATCACCCTTACACCCAGCATCCTTCGAACCCGATGCCGGTGCTTCCGCAGAACCCTGGAAGCCTTGAGTGGACCGTTAAAGCAGTCCTTAGAAGGGATCCTTTAAGGGATCTGAAGGAGTCCTTCAATGGGTTTGCAGTAAAGGGCCCTTAATAAGGGCTTTTGGGGTTTGGGCTCAGGCCTTAAAGGGTTTAGGGTTTGGTGTTTGGGGTTTAGGTTTGGGGTTCAATGGGGTTTTGGGAACCTCAGCCCGGTGTTTCCGAGGTGGTACTCGTATCCCACTTCGAGCTAATTCCTCCGCCAGAGCTGGCGGAGGAGGCACGGGATTAAGGGTAAAGTTTAGGGCCGTTTAGGGTTTAGGGGCAGCCCCGACCGAGCGTGTCTGGTGATGTAGGGCTGTCAGATACCCCAAACCCCTACGCACATACACTAAGCTGCAAGCCCTAAACCCCTAAGGTGGTGGGGTTCTTGGGTTTGGGCTTGAGGTCTTTTGGGCTCGGGGCTTTGGCATTTTCGCTTCTGGTGGGCTCCAGGATAGCAAGTGTAGAAGGGTTGTAGGATTCAGGGTGACCACATGTCTTACCCAAAGCCCTTAAACCTTTGACCCCTAAACCCTGAAACCCTGAACCCTAAACCCCTAAACCCTAATCCGCCCAGTCGCTTTGGCGTCAGCAGTTGGAGCCTGAAGTTGGAGCTGGAAACGTTGCAAATCTCGATTTACTCCCACAGCTGAAGGAGTAGGGCTTGGGGTTTAGGGTTTGGGGCTCTGGTTTCGGGGTTTGGGGCTTAGGTAGACCCCACAGCCGAGATTTAGGCTTTAGGGGTTCTATTCTCACCGAAATTGCCCCTAAACCCTATTTTGCCCTATACCCTAAACCCTATTCTGCCCTTTAGCCTAAACCCTAAACCCTGTGCTGCCCTACACCCTAAACCCTAAACCCTACGTATTCTGCCCGATTGACTCCAAACCCTAAACCCTATTCTGCCCTGTGCCCTGAACCCTATTCTGCCCTACATCCCAAACCCTGAATCCTGAATCCTAGACCCTGAACCCTATTCCTGTTCTGCTCCATGCCCTGAACCCTAATTATTCTGCCCTACATCCTAAACCCTAAACCCTAAACCCTATTCCTATTCTGCTCTATGCCCTGAACCCTATTCTGCCCTACATCCTAAACCTAATTCTGCCCTATGCCCTGAACCCTAGAGCCGCTGTTGCAGGCCTGGGCTTGCATGGACGTGGAGTGGGAGTTCACGCTCTTCAACTGGAAGTCCGTCCCCCTTGCCTGCAAACGCGAGGACTTACGGCCTTGGGGGCTGAGGATGGTTTTGGGTGTTTAGGGTTAGGGTTTAGGGTCTAGGGATTTGGTTTAGGGTTTAGGGTCTAGGGTTTTGGTTTAGGCTTTAGGGTGCAAGTGCTTAGGATTTAGGGCTACAGACTATTGGGTATGGGTGGTTGTCCAAATTACGGGCTCTGGGGGTTCCCAAACTGTAGGATGCCACATCAAGAGTAGAAGCAGAATTGTATGTCTGTCTGTCCGTCTGTCCTGTCTGTCTGTCTGCCCGTATGTGTGTGTGTGTGTGTTTGTATGCATGTGTGCAGGGTCCGGTGTGTATGTGTGTATGCGTATGCGCATGCACATGTAAGCATGTATGTATGCATGCATGCATGCATGCATGCATGCATGTATGTATGTATGTATGTATGTATGCACGGGCATGCATACATACGTGCGTGCATACATACATTCGTACATCGGTATTGGCATACATACATACATAGATACATAGATACATACATACAGACAGACAGACATACATACATACATATGTCATACATACAAAACTCATACATACATACATCCATGCATACATCTGTACATACGTACATACATACATACATACGTACATACGCACACAAACACACATACACACACACACGTACATACATACATACATACATACATGTATTATATTACATGATATTATATTATATTATACTATGTATACATACATACATACATACATACATACATACACATACATTGCAGTACATACCTGCACATACATGCACCTACATATACACATATACACACGCATACACGCGTACATATATGCATGCATGCATGCGTACATGCATGCACACGTACATACATACATCCATGCATACATGTGTACATACATACATACATACATACATGCATACGTACACACACACACGTATATATATATATACATACATACATATATACACATACATTGCAATACATACCTGCACATACATGCACCTACATATAGACATATAATATACACACGCATACACGTGTATAAACGAGCATGCATGCATGCATGTATGCATGCATACATACATACACACGTACCTACATACATAAATACGTACGTACGTAC